TGAACAAATCATCCCTCTGCAGCATTGTGCATTAATGTAACAATGGTATGAAATTAAATGTCTGTTTAATCAAGAGAATGTTTTGCAGTATAGTAATGGTGCACGAATGGGGACCAGCAATAACATTACATCATAAACTATATGAATGTTAGGTTGAAATGTGATTTCAACCAATGCAAAAGACAGAAGCAGATAGAGGAACGTGATAAATCGTGTCTAAGGTGCAAAAATAAAACATTATTTAGAAAATCTGCCAAATGCAAACAGAAAATAAGCTTTCACTTGAATTCTGTTGACATTTACATAGTCAATTTGCAATTAAATCACAATCTTTGTTTCTTTATTTACGTAGTCAATTTGCAATTAAATCACAATCTTTGTTTCTTTTTTGGGGGCGTGGGCTTCAGGGATAGACAGATTTTCTTGGAAAGCATTATGTTTGCATGGAAATAAATCATGAGTTCGTAATTATTATCTGACTCCACATGGCTGGCGATCTATTCCCCAGTGAAATAAGATAACGTGTAATTTACCAAGGCATTAAACTTTGCTATCTGTGTCATGTCGCATCTTAATCTTTTGTTGTCTTGGGATTACTCTTATTTTGGGCCAAGATGAATTGTCATGTATTTTTTATCTGGAATGAATAGTTTTGATTACTTGCTGATCCTCTGTTGGGCTTAAACGTCAGCTTTATGCGGAGAAATGTGTCAACCTGGGCAGAAAAGAAGGAAAGGAGGGTATTTTAGGGCATTAACACGGACACATTGAATATCAAAGAACAGTTGTGTCATGAATCATGATTACCTGAAACTGATATCAATACAACAGCACTCTTGTGGCTTGCTTGTTTGAAAATGCTCATTTATAAGCTCGAATAATGCTCTCTGTCCAAGATCAAATTTGGGTTTAGGGCAAAAATGCAACCCAAAATGCGGGGTTAAAATGTGGGGTTATGAAATTTCCCTATAATCACAGGGGATTCAAATACATCAAAATCGACTGTAACAATAGAGAGTTTAATGTAAGATACAGTCAGACATGTATTCTAGCACAGCAGATCTGAGACACAGGCATCACTAATAGCCTATAATAACAAAAAAATAACTCAATCTTCTTTGAATGGGCTTAACCTTTATTTTTCTCAGAAATCTTTTGCTGACATCTAGTGTTAAAATACGAAGAGCTTTCTGCATGAGTCAGATGATAGACAGTTAAAATGTGATTTCTTGTTTTGATTCTGTTATTGAGGGTAAAACACCTCATATGTTATCAAGCAAATAATCTAAAAAAAAACTATAAAATCAAGCAACACTTCTTATCAAATGACATAAAAGGTAAATCAAGCGAAAATTCTTATCAAATTACACTAAAGGTGAAGAACATTGAATAATATTTCTAAATATTTTACTCTAATTTTCTTACATGTTTAGGGTCATTTTGGTCGCAAATACCTATTTGAGGTTCGTCTCGCACAACGGAAACTGTTTATGGCGCCAGCGTTAGCCAAACGCTAACTAGGTTGTATTAAAGAAACAAAACAAAACATTTGGAGATATATTTGTGATATTTAAATGTATATTAAAGTGATAAATTAGCGTATTTTTATTTTGTTTTTCACAAAAACAAACCTGTGTGTGTGTGTGTGTGTGTGTGTGTGTGTGTCCTACAGATTTACATTGAAGTAGAGACCAAGAGACTTGCGGGAAAGATCTTTTACATAGCAACCACATAGAACACCTTAGCAACTGCATAGCAACACCCTAGCAACCACCCACAACATTCTCAACTCACAATCTCGTTCAGATGAGTGGAGAGATTTAGTGATCCTGACATCTGATATTTCTATAGGACAGCTGCACATGTAAAGGCTGATGTAAGCCTCTTTAGCCTGTCTTGAACAAATCATCCCTCTGCAGCATTGTGCATTAATGTAACAATGGTATGAAATGAAATGTCTGTTTAATCAAGAGAATGTTTTGCAGTATAGTAATGGTGCACGAATGGGGACCAGCAATAACATTACATCATAAACTATATGAATGTTAGGTTGAAATGTGATTTCAACCCATGCAAAAGACAGAAGCAGATAGAGGAAAGTGACAAATCGAGTCTAAGGTGCAAAAATAAATCATTATTTAGAAAAGCCAATTGCATACAGAAAATAAGCTTTCACTTGGATTGTCATTTACGTAGTCAATTTGCAATTAAATCACAATCTTTGTTTCTTTTTTGGGGGGGGGTGGGCTTCAGGGATAGACAGATTTTCTTGGAAAGCATTATGTTTGCATGGAAATAAATCATGAGTTCGTAATTATTATCTGACTCCACATGGCTGGCGATCTATTCCCCAGTGAAATAAGATAACGTGTAATTTACCAAGGCATTAAACTTTGCTATCTGTGTCATGTCGCATCTTAATCTTTTGTTGTCTTGGGATTACTCTTATTTTGGGCCAAGATGAATTGTCATGTATTTTTTATCTGGAATGAATAGTTTTGATTACTTGCTGATCCTCTGTTGGGCTTAAACGTCAGCTTTATGCGGAGAAATGTGTCAACCTGGGCAGAAAAGAAGGAAAGGAGGGTATTTTAGGGCATTAACACGGACACATTGAATATCAAAGAACAGTTGTGTCATGAATCATGATTACCTGAAACTGATATCAATACAACAGCACTCTTGTGGCTTGCTTGTTTGAAAATGCTCATTTATAAGCTCGAATAATGCTCTCTGTCCAAGATCAAATTTGGGTTTAGGGCAAAAATGCAACCCAAAATGCGGGGTTAAAATGTGGGGTTATGAAATTTCCCTATAATCACAGGGGATTCAAATACATCAAAATCGACTGTAACAATAGAGAGTTTAATGTAAGATACAGTCAGACATGTATTCTAGCACAGCAGATCTGAGACACAGGCATCACTAATAGCCTATAATAACAAAAAAATAACTCAATCTTCTTTGAATGAACTTTCTGCGTGCGTCAGATGATGGAATATTGTTAAAATATAATTTCTTGTATTGATTATGTTACTTATTTACGGTAAAACACCTCATACTGTAGCTATGTTATCGATCAAATAATAAAAAAAAACTGTATAAAATAAGGTGTAGCCTATATAACTAAATAAAATCAAGCAACACTTTTTATTATTAAATGACACTAAAGGCGAAGAACGTCATAATATTTCTATATATGTTATTCAAATTTTCCTACAAGTTTAAG